CCGCGCTGCCGCCGGCCGCTTTCCCGCCGCGGCCCACAACCGCCGCGGGGGGGCGCGGGCAGGCCCTACCCGGAGGCCCGGCGGAAGCCGGGAGCTCTCCTGTGGGGCGTGCCCGGCGCGGCGTGAGGGGAGGCGGTCCTGAGGCCGGCGAGGCGCCGGTAGAGCTACGCTGCGGCTGTTAGGGCTGAAGAGCTCTCTTTTACCTGACAGCTCACTCTGTAGGTGGCGATGGTCCACAATCAAATTGATTTACAGCCTTTTCTCTGAGCTGGCTCGATCCCTCGTCGTAGCTCTTGTTTTCTGGACCACAGACCTTCTGCAGGCCGTCTTTGAACTCTCCCTGGTTTTCAGCATCCACTCTCACACTCCTTGCTGTTTCATATTAATAATACTCAGAAAAATAAAGGAGTGAATATACATTCCCGTGAATACGAATGGTCACAAGCTGGCTTTAAAGAGAGCTATGTTAATTATTGCCACAGTTCCCTGAATAACAAGTATCTGGCCTGTAGAAAAAATGCTTGGCTTCAGCTTTTAACCAGATGGAGCATATGGTCAAAATGGGGTCAAAATAAGATTTTCCTCACAACTTTCTGGGGAAAGTTAGGCCGTTGATTCATAAACCAAGTGTTTGCACAAAGAGTATGAGGGAAAGTCTGATGGATCAAAAGGGATTTATTCCCATTTGTATAATAAAATACTGATTCCAGGCTAGCACTAGCTAGGACAGCACCAGCTAGGAGCCAGTGATACAGAGAAGGAGCACTTAGTTTCCACCCCACTTGTGAATTTGTAAGGAAGAAGGATAAATTACTTTGCTGACTAAAATTTTAGGAGACATCAACAGCTTTGGAGGTGCAGCTAGGTGTACGAGTGGCTAAGGGTGTTCTTATGGAGGCTGAAATGGGGACCAACAGTCCAGTGGTGAGGTGAAATGTGAGTAAGCTGGATAAAAAGCTTTGCCATTCCTGTAAACCCTGAATTGAACCCAGAATTTCCAAATTTTACTATTCCTGTTCAATAAGAAGAGGTAAAAATATCCCCAAACCAACCATGAGTGGAGCAAATTCAGAGTCTGTTACACAATATTCATTCTTTTTGACCATGAAGAAACAGCTAATGAACTTTGGAACCCAAAGCGACACCAAGAATGCACTGAAAAGCCCTTAAATCACTGTTGTAAAGCATGATAGCACTGCTACTGTAGTGGTGTGAAGAAGAAAGGGGAGGAAACATGCATACATCTTAAAGTTATTGATACTTTAACTGGAGATCTCTGTATGATTTTTTAGTTAAAATGGGCAAAGGTAAGCTCACAAGAGTTAGGATTCCCTGAAGAGAGATTACCTGCTGGCTGCATAAATGTGTTTAGCTCCAGTCTGAAATCAGCCATTTGTGTTATTAGCAAAGACAACAAGGTAAGTTTTTAAAAATCATTAACAATGTTGACTGAGTGTCTCCAAAAGAGCATCTTGGACTCCCTGACTTGCATGGTTCACATCCCAGCTTTAATGTGGTATTAATATAAGAAAGGAAGACCAAGAAAGTGCATGAAAAGGAAGCTAGCCAAACATCAAACTGGCCTTTCAGCAAATTCTGAAAATTAAAGGAGAAACTAAGCAAGAATGAGAGATGTGGGAAGGATTTCCTGGGGTCAGACTAGTTCAACTCTGCAGACTTTCTCCTGTGGGAGTCTGTGGGACAGGCACTGTCCAGAATGCTGGCTTCTTTGACGGCAGATCTATTTCATGCCCAAAGGAAGTATTTAAAGCTTTTAGCACCTGAGGAATGCGAATTGCTCCAAGCTACAGCATATGCCATGTTCTTCATTTGTCCAATAACTTCACTGTTGCAGAATCAACACCTAAAATAGCCTCCTGTAAAAGCTGATCTGTTGGGGAAGATTAAAGTTTCCCTCCCTACTGGGCAAAAACTTTTTTTTTTTTTTTTTTGTTTTTTTAAATGTGAGAGGAATGACTTAGAATCCGTGGTTAGAAAATCTGGCTTTTGGAGACCCTGGGGTCTGTGGCACAATGCATGCGTACAGTGCACTGGGCTTTTCTTGGAGCAAAAACTGTGTTTGCAGAGTGGTTCCCTACAGCTTCCAGGATATGCAGACTGCTAACTTTCTATCCTTTTACAGTGAGGACAGCAGATCAACATGGAAGCAGAACAAAGCAGAAGGGACAGATTTTCAAGTTTTCTCTGTGGAAGATACCAAATCAAGCTTCAGTGGCATCTGCTGAAAGCCTCCTCTGTCCAGTTAGAAAGAGACATGGAGTTCCCCCTGCAACGGCCATTGAGTGGCCACTTCACATGGCCACACTACTCTCGCCAACATTTGCAAGACAGCTGCAACATTTCATGAGCCAACTATTGAAGAATTCCCGTGGATGAAAATGCTTCAAACAGCACAGGGTTTTTATGACATCCACTCCTGGCCTCTCCTGACATCCAGTCTTGGCTGCTGCTTCCTTCTTATCCTCAACTGCCAGTGTGCCTTATTCAGAGCTACTTCCAGTCAGTGTCTGTTCAAGGTACACACAGACCTCAAATTAGTACCAGAACTAACCAGCTACTAGAAGGGAGAGGTGCTCATAACTACTTTGGTATCTCCCACACCCAAGCTGAGCCACAGATCAAATGTCTAGTTCTGTGAACCAAGCCCATTCAACTTGTTATGTAAGCAGATGTGTATATTTTATTCTAAGTTTGGTGACATCCATGGTGGATACCATTCCACCCACTTTGCGCTCAGGGTGCAAAGAATCCTAGCAAGTGCACTGCATGTAATGGGAAAACACAGTAAATTAACAGACCTCCTGGGAGCCTCAGCTCTGGACCGGAAAGGGCAGGCAAGTCCTATTTAGTAACATATTAACATATTAATGGATTCTACTGAGTCTTTTTTTTTTGTTTTGTATGCAAGACGTTTTTGTGCTCTGACAAGACAGAAATGCTTGGCTTTACAGGATTGTTCAGTGCAGAGAAACAAATGCAAAACCCAGGTGAGCAGGGCAGATTGCTGGGCTGATGGGTTCTGCTTACTATGTCTGCAGGATTGATAGCTTACATGGTATCCCCACTGAAACTGGTTTTGGTGGTGCCATAAGGACAGCCATGCCTGGGGGTCTCTCCTAGCTGCACCGGACAGGAACAGTGGGAAGCTGGAGACTGAAACCAAAGGCTTGGCAGAACTAGCAGGAGTTTGGGAGACATGAGATGGAGCTGCCCAAGCAATCAGCCAGGCTTTTTTAAACACAGTGGTTTCTTTTCTGAAGGTGTTACAGACAGTTTATTCAGTATTTCCTAAATCAAGAGGAGTTGTACTGCAAGCATGTCTTATAAATCAATCAAAACGGAAAAAGAGTATACATGAGAGTGTGGGGGGATTTGTGTATGCATATGTATGTATGTATGTGTGCACGTATACAGAGTCAGAGCATTGCAAGCCTAAGAGCACCTCCAGCACTGCCCCTCTGCTGAGAGTGCTCAGAATGTGCTGGATGCAGAGAAGCAGCCAGTTTAAGGTATTCCACTGGCTCTTTGTCCCCAGCCACTTATTCTTGCCTCTCTCCTTCAGAGCAGTTTCCCCTCCACTGTACCAGTACAATAGCGTACAGAACTGTGCTTAAACCAGCTCCCTGAACTGGTTGAGGTTAACATCTCTTCCACATGCTGCTCCTACCATGACCATACCCTCTGGACAGAACAACAGATCACCTTTAACATGTATAGCCTAGAGCAGTAAGAGGAGAAACAGGCACAAATGAGGTGCATCAGCAAAGCTGAGGTCAGGGTAACACACTGAGGAATAACCATTTTTCTGCATCCTGTGCAATGTCAGCATGCCAGCTGCTAACAGTAGTTCAGATAAGCTCCACCAATGTCTCATAACAGATGAAAAATGTTCAAATTAGGTTGCAGTTGAGCTGATGATGATCATTAGTCTTTATAGGAGTAATCCTGTACCCTTTGTAAACACAGGAGAGCTGCTGGGAGGGAACTTTCAAAATGCTTGTATTGTATGAATGTACTGGGATAAAGACTGGTCACCTACTTACTAGCTCCCCTGGGAAAAAAACAGAGCATTTTCCAAAGGAGACCGGAAGTTATGTGCTGAATGGGACCCAGTCACTCTCTGTCTTAGAGGCTCATTACAAAACTTGCCATAGACAGGGTGAACAAAGACTGAAAAGGAAAGAAAGTGGCCTAGAAAGTGGCAGGATCAAAAAGAAAGAGAAAATTCACACATAGACCAAGGAGCTTATTTCCTTCCATAGGACACTGTGGGTACTAAAATGTTGTAGGGGTTCAAGAACCTTTTGAGGAAATACCAGGAAGAAAAATCTGTCCAGGCTATTAAACACAGACAGACCATTTCTAACTCAGGAAGTCCCTGAGCCACAAACCACTGGGTCTGGTGGAGTATTTAGGAGAAATATGACTGTATACTTGTCCTGTTTTTATACTGTCTGTAAGCTTTTACAATTGGCTGCTGATGGAGGTAGATATCTTCTGCTCGGTGGATCTGTTATCTGACTCATCCCGCTCTTACAGACATTCTGCAGGAGTCACAATTGTTTTGCTTCTCCTGCTTAGCCGATCTCTTCTAATAAATTTAAATTCATCCAGGCAATGCTCAGAAGGTGAAAGAAAATGTTCAAAGAGCAAAAATGCCCCAAATTTTCTTTGGTGAAACAGGACTGCCCACCCAGACCCTGTTGTTTGCTGTCACAGACATCCAAATTTAGGAAGCATATGGGCGTGGGCATACTTAGAGTCATTGACCACAGGCATGACATAGCACTGGTTACTAAAACTGACCTGAAGTTGTTTGCCTTGCAGGATATGGTAAGAAGGCTTGGATTGAATA